CAATCGTTGATGAAAGTGAATCACGAATGCATTTCTTCTAAAAAATAAAAAATATTTTGATGTTAAGTAGGCTTAAAATAATATATTCTAATAAAGCAACTCAATAAGTAATTTGAATATATTATATTATGCTTCAACGTTCACAATTTAGATTATAGACTGGAAAACATCTCTCAGCGGATTAAAGGCACTACTGTTATTAATAATAATGACCCAGGATAATTTACACAACGCTATTTAGTCCCAAACTAAGCAGATTTTGTATTATATTATATTTTTTGTATATAGGTATATAATATATTCTACATAAAGTTAACCCGACCAATGCAAAAAATCGTACTACTCTACTACTAATGAACAAAAATACCTGCCAGACATCGAACTGCCAACGGTCAATGCCTCAAATAATACATTAAACAACAAAGATTCTACAATACTACGTTGGTAAATGAGTACCTTTTACTATATATACTGTGATAATTTTCATACGTTTTGTTTCACCAGAATTTTGCTTAAAATGTACCTGCATAAGACTTGCTTCATTTCCACAAAAATTGTATATAGCCAATAATTATGTTTAATAATCTTTGTAAAATACAGACAGCTACCCTTAGCATAGGAATATACCGGATTACACATTTGTAAATACAGTATATAGCCAAATGAACTTATTTCAGTGCGACCCCGCCGGAAGCGTTGTGACATTAACAAAACATTACCCTTTTAGTACATACTACAAAAGTTCATCTCTTTTAAAAGGGACCGAAATTAATTGCCCACCTTTTGGGATGTCCAACCTTTAATTTACCTCAAATTATGTAATAGAATCGGAAGAGTTATGGTTTTTTGTTATATTATATGTTTGTCGTATAGGACTCTACTTGTTTTATACTTGTAATCATGAACAGAAAGGTCCAGATATAGAAAGTACAAATAGAATATTTTTATTCATTTATTTAGGTCAACAAACAGTTACATATTGTACATGTGGCTGAAGGCTATTTTGTAATAATTTTAGCGGATGTGACACCCACTACGTTAACCATTACTAATATAATTCTATTATGCTGCCTAAGGTTATAGAAATCCTGTACTACTTACTAACTACTACTACTATTAAAACTAATTTGGAATTTAATTACAGAGGATATAGGTATTCCACCTACGCCAGATCAGGCTAAACCTAGTACGCGATTTTTTTCTACCCAGTAGCACATATACCATAATATTACATACCAGTAGCACAGATAATATAATATTACATACCAGTAGTAAATAGAGGTCCATTGCAAAATGACTTGTAGACTAGACATAATAGGCATAAAATCGCCAACCGATAAAGTTTAAATCTTAAAATTGACATATATTCATACTTCAGATGTAGAATATAGTATAACTGCAACCAACCTCAAATGTATGAAAATGTACGAAATAGCAGTACTAGGTAAGTCTACCATTACCAACCCGTTAAAATTGTAAGAATGATACGTAATTTTTAGAAAAGGTTCAAACACATTTAACTTTTTTATCGCAGGTTGCTTACATTATAACATACATCGCTGTAATTTTTTTCTTTAATTTAGAATGTAAATTTAATTATAAATTATAAGTAAATTATCTAATTATCTGGTAATTATTGATGATTATTATAGATCTGATTATAATACTATGGATTTAAGTAATTATTGTATATTTGTTTATATTTGTATACTTGTTATAAGTTTAGCATACAAGTAATTTACTATGTAATATACAGCCCTATGTAATATAAAGCTGTCCTGTTTTTTAGCACACAGTAACATAATTTTAATATCAAATCTTTGTTCTTTGTTGTTTTAATAATAAAAAAAAGAATATATAGAAGTATAAAATCGCAACAAACTAGGTACTACAAAAGACTGCACCCAAGTGACGTTATATTTGCACTATTATACGCCCTTAATTCATCCCCCCGTCACAGTGTGCGACATATATAAACATTGTTCGACATTGTACTAATATTTACGACATCACTGTTTACATACGTAACATCGTACCTTGTGAGGGGCTCTTGTATTTCAACTATACATGCACTAACTTGCATACAACTTAGCTAACTGAAATAATTGAAGCCTACGGCGAAATAATAAAATTGACTTAAAATTTAATTAAATGTTAACATAAATTAAAAATGTAATTACATTTAAAATTCTGAATAATGTGAAATCCAAATAGTTTGTTTAGTTCATTTCATTAATTCGTAGTAACGTAATTTGATTATTTTACAATCTACTAAATTTGATATTGGAGAATGGAGAAAGATTTGATTGTTTATTGATTTGTTAGATTGTATTGACGGCCTCGGTAGTCTAGCGGTACAGTATTATTTCCGATGGTCGAGGGTTCGATTCCTTGCACGGTGCAAACAGTATTTATGAGTATGATTGTTTGTATCGGTGAGGGTGTTCCATTTATTTATTCTTTATTGAACAATAACACTTGTTCAAAAGGCGAGCTTAATGCCATTAATATAGTATGGCATTCCCGCCCAGCTAACCTTAAGGTATACAGATAGCGCAGACTTATAGGTAAACAGAAAGCGTTAGAGTAATAACGAGAACTGTCTTTTCTATGTATATTGTGTATGTATTTATAAAAAAATGTGTTTAATATTATATATTATAAATAAGTATTTATGCCAGTTGTCAAAAATACAACACAAGCTGCTTAGTTTGGGACTAGATGGCGCTCTATGAGTTGTCCAAGTTAATTATTATTATTACATGCATTGTCATGCTACGATTTGAATAGTACCATCAAACACTGATGGTACTACTCAAAACGTTTTCAGATACGGAGAAGTGCCTTAAGATATTGAAATAGAGAATCCAAAGATCAAAGACCGAGGTAATAGTCAAATATATTGAACTAGTATCCGCTTGAGTCAGCGAGGTCGTCGGCACAACTTGCCCGAATACCAAAATTCATAAATCCGAAATCAAAAACATGCAAATGATATGTCCTAAAATTTAAATATAGGTTTTTTAACTTTAATATGGCGTTTAATATTTTTTATTTTATACTTATACTCTATTATATACCTTGAACATGACGTGTAAAGACATACAATGATATGTTATTGTATGTATTGTAATTATATTTTATTATAAACTAAAATAGTACAACTGCAACAAAATTTTCAGAAATTTATAGACGCAAATGTATTTATTTAACAACTCCGTTACATATTTTAACCATATTTTCTATCATATAGGAATTACATCACTGATTTTCTATTTATTATTAGTTTAGTTATATATGTTTAATTTTTGCTTCTTATAATTAGAAATGCTATCCAGGTGACTATTCTATACTACTATATTACTTGATTCGTAAAGTTAGTTACAGATCACTACTTAATTTAAGCAACTTATAAGTTGTTTTAATTATTTAATTATAAGTTATATAGTTACATATATACCTTACAAGAATATACATGAAGTATTCAAAAAAACATTCCTACATATACCTTAGCCTCAATTGTTTTGGTACATTTAATAAAAACTTTTCTTGAACATTTAAAAACTTGGTTAAATTAAAAAAATATATAATTCAGGCCTTTGCCTTTCAAAAGAACTCCATATCCGTAAAAGACTTATCCTCAAGAATCTTTTTATCGAATAAAGGAAATAATTAACACGATTGAGCGAAACTCTTGAACTAACTGACCATAAAGGACCAGGAAGGACCGTTCAAATTGTTACAATGATTGAAAGAATCATCCAATTCCATGAAGATATGTATTTTCCGCAATTTGATTTAAGATTGCAGGTTGAATTGGGAACCTGTTTATAATTAAATATTAATGTTTCTCACTCGCTGATCTAGTAATTTAGTATAGCGTTTTTCTTCCGATGGTCGCGGGTTCGATTTCTTACAGCACGGTACAAACATTTTTATTCATGAGTTTGTATTGGTATATATATAAAAAAATAATTAAGTATATCTATCATTTATCTAGTACATCACACAAGCTTTACTTAGCTTGGGAATAATAGAGGCTGCTGTGCGAATTGTCCATAAAACTGTTACTGTATAATTTATTTATTATTTATAAATATTAAATTAAAAATATAAGTTAAAGAATAATGACCACAGATAATACAATGACAAAAACCGGTGAATCGTTATTAAATCAAAATTACTTAAATCATTGTTAAAAGACTGAATATGAAACAATATTTATACTACCAAACGTATTATTTATTATTTTTAAATAGAGAAGTCCCAATAATAGATTAATGTTGAAATTTACCAGTTCAGTGACGCGAAAATATTATATAAGAACCTTCTTATTCAAAAAGAGCGACTACATGACTGCGTATATCAAGTTCCAATGAACCAAAAAAAACTTATAACACTCGATATTTACGAAAAAAGTAAAGTGATAAGGGCGCCGTATTCGGTATCCCAGACGGTTTGACGACGCCGTCTCAGTCTTGCCTGAACCCGACCAAATATCGTCATCAACATGCTCCGACCTCTCCTACCCTTCATTCCCCTCTCATCCCGTAACCCCGGGCATGCGCCTTTACACACGGGGTAATCAAATTGCGATAATATGCCCCTGCACTCAGATCATCTGCTATTGAAATATTTATCGAGTGTCCGTTAACACTTTTTTATTTTAAAAATAGAACTTAGAATGTTCATTAAATTAAAGTGCGTATAACATAAATATAATTTAAAATTAATTACATACTTATTCTAACTCAAATTCATCACTACAAAATCTTTATACTACTTTGTTGTGTTTTACTATATTATACTTATAAAAACTTTTTTATTCAGAAATCTTTAATGAAAGTTAGTGGAGATAATAATTCATTTAATACACCCTCAGTGACAAAATATTTTGCCGCCAGCTAACCTCACAATACACGCATGCGCCATCTCAAAACGACCCGCAGTAAAACGACTGGTCACGTGACTTGACGCGGCATTCGCTCGTCGAACTTCGGCAGTCGTCGGCGAATCAGCCCAAACACCGGGTGTGTCCGCGCGTGTCGTATTATTATAATCACATAAATGTCAAATGATATGATTTCGAAAAAAAATAGTGACATGTGACCCGTTGTAACATGAACATTTGTGGCAAAGTTACATTTTTAGTGTGCCGTAGTGTTATTCCTCAATATTAACGGTTTTTGCTGACTGATTTTGTAAAGCAAATTTATAGTCCTGGTTCTCGTGGTCGTGTTTTTGCTAGCTGCTCATAAAACATTCCAGGTGACTTGGGACAGTATTCTGCGTCATTGACAACGCTGCTTATTAGAAGCAAAAAGATTAAACCAGTGTTGTGTTTCTAATAAATAAGTTAGAATGTTGTTGTGATTCACGATGGACCGCGTGAGTGGCGTGTGTAGGTTTGGAGGAGTAGTATCGGCGGTTAGAACGAGAACCGGCCGGAGCAGACGACGGTTAGGCACCCAAAGTCATATGGCAGAAGATATTCCAGAACCACCACGGCGAGGACTCGGAGCTGTACTGATCCTTGCCTGCATCATAGTATACCATAACTGCCTGTATTGTGGTTTCGTTTTTGACGACATCAGTGCTATAAAGGAGAATAGAGACTTACGTCCACAAACGCCTATATCTAATATCTTCCTCAACGACTTCTGGGGAACTCCTATTCATAAGGTGAGCTTGATGCATTTACATTATCGATATTATTATTCATATAAATCACAAGGTTTTTATCCCGATGTCGTAATTCGATGTAATTACAAAACTCTTTTTGAATTAGCTGTTCTTAGAATGCCTTACGTCTATTTAGCTGTCACAGATTATTAACACTTAATGGTAAAAATTGCAGAAATATTTTAAAGAGAATCTCTAAATACGTTTCGGAACTAATTTCATAATCCGCAACATTTAATTAAAAATTATGCAAATCTGCGCAAAATCCTCGAAGCAATTCGGGTTATGTACGAAGTGTATACATACGTAATTAATGAATAAAAGCATTGTCTATGAATTCTTGGTTTTATCAGTATTATTAATTTGTAAATATTATAAGGAATATGATTAATGTAAATATATATATCGTATGTGGTTAAAATTTTTAGTACACAGCGAAAATTACAATGTACTTTCTTACCTTAGCCTATTATTCCCTAAAGTAAAAAAGATCATAAAGATTGTCGATGATAATGTAATCAATGTGACATTGAATAATCAAACAAAATTGACCAGTATGTATTCATGACCAATTCGAATTAGTTTTGATTCAAATTATGTAATTAATTCTACATTAGAAAGACGCGACGCGACTGTATCTTTTTTTTACAGAAAATGTAATTACATGATGTATATTACCAAAGATCAAATTTTTGTTACATCAATTATGAAATTACGTACCTTATAATTTCAAATTCATATGAATGCATCTAAATAAAATGGTGTTCGTATTTTTTAAATCCGCAATAATAAGTAAAACTGTACACCATATAAGGTATACTTATTCTACAGATTTAATAAGAATAACATAATTACTTGGCAGTATATTATAATCCCACTTTGGTTTTTAATATAAAAGCTTGCCAATTATTCATGAATATAAACATAATATAATTTAAGTATATTTATTATATAAATAAATAATCTAGCCAACACAATAAATAATGCAGTTTTAACTTTTTTTTAACGTTCAATCCGGCTAAGATAAGAGGCCGAACAGAAAAAATTGGTTGAAAATGGTTTTAGTATATCTGTTTAACAACATAATTAAGTAGGTATGTAATTAAAATTAAAACGATACTTACTTAATATACAAACGAAAATGTATCAAATTAACTACTTATAATATAGTAATAATACTCTTACTGAAAAAAATTACCATTTCTCTGTAAGATTTATGGTAGGAAGTTGTTAGAACAGAGAATGAAATTATATATGTATCTTGGATAGGGTTTTATTAAAGAGAGGATAGCTAATAGAAAGAGGAGTGAATGGTAAAAACAACGAAGGCATTATCGGGAAACTATTCGGCAGTGAAGGTATAAGCTGAGCTCATAGCCATAGTTGTGGTACGTTGCTATGGAAGCTACTGGATAATAAACTATCAGAAGTATAATAAAGTTTCTACAGAATTGACCCCATTTACTTATAACAAAGTATTGAAGAGCAAGTTGGTTTAAAACATGTAATAACATATTATTTTTTTATGAATAAAAATAATTATTTGTGTATCGAAATTTATCGTTGAATGGATCATTAAAGATAATATTTTTAATATCTATTATTGGACATCCTAGTTTTTATAGAAAAATCTTTATAATACTGTAACAACCCTTAAAAAAATAAGCATCGCCCTAATCAGCTTCTTGATTTATGGTCACAGCTTACAATTAAAATGTAACATATAGTATCCGGCAGCTATGTTTTAATATTATAAACGCGAAAGTTTGTGAATATGGATGGATAGATGGATGTATGTCACTTTGTCACGCAAAAATTACTGAACGGATTTTGATGAAACTTTACAGTAATATAGCTTATACATCAGAATAACAGATAAGCTATAAATTTCGTGCGGGTGAAACCACTGGCACATCTATTATGAAATAGAGCAGATAAAACTACAGGACCGCATTAAGTAATACGAATTTAATATATTCTGCATATAATGAGATCAATTAAAATGAGGAAATCATTATCATCAGAATACTTTTACAACTCTGCTATAATCAGAAATAAAATTATCAGCATTCTTCCAATAAAATTGAAAAGTAAAGTGTCATGGGAATAAAATACATTATGTTTCGGGTAAAAAAATCTCATTTCCATTATCTGTCAAGCATGTTTTACAGTGGAGATTAAGTATTTTACAATGTTTCGTCGAGCTTTGTCAAACCAAATTATTTACAAAGTCAAGTTATTTTTTTCGTATAGAATAATGAGGATCGAAATATTGATAGATGTTTATTCAAAGATGAAGTATAGAAGATAATTGATCCTAATTTATGTTATAATATGTATGTCTATGAATAAAAAGTAAATGACTTAATAATATATTCAAAAACATTAAAAAAATAAAGTTCAAGTTCGTGCAGTAAAATATGGAATTCTTTTGCAAAATTTACAAAATTTTATGCTATTCAATTACTTATGATGAATATATATGTATATTGTCGTAATTAAGCAATTTAATTATAATTTTATATTCAAAAGGACAGGAAATTAATTTTATGTTTGACATCATCCTTAAATTGAACTTAATTTTCTTAATGTAATTAATCTCTCATTGAGTTTAATTAGATACTATATCTTAATAGAATTCTTTAAAAATAACCAATGTCTCGTATTCTGCTTTGTATGTACGTCATTTGAATATGGCCGATATGAAAAACTGTGTAATAAGACATTTTTGTTCCTACGTCAGAATGAAAACATCATTAATAAACCTAATTAATCTAAGAGACTGCGATAAGCTTTGGCAAACCAGGGTTTACTCAAATATGGCCTGAAAAATGTGGGCGTCGACTGCAGATTCAAGTTTTAGTTTAACCAGATATCACGGTTCCTTGATATATGTATTAGGGCGACAGAGGTTGGCTTATGTAGCTCGTATACTACCGGGACGTAGATCAGAGGATTATTTGTCTGGTGTTTGTTACCCATAGTAGTTAGATCCGATCTGTCAGACATTGGAAGTCTTTCTCAGTCACCTTTTCAGAACACGCAAGTGTAAAATTATTCATTCTCTTAGAAATATCTATAAGAGTAACCACTGGACGCGGTAACCGAGATGCTTTATAACGCCACCTAAAGAAGGAGCAACATCCGTGAAATTTTGGCCGATAAAAGTCCGTTACTGTACAAAGATTTCTTTACTCGTGATAGATTATAAGAGTGTTAATTTCTAGACGAGGATTACATTTGTAACCATATATTTATCTATAAACCATTCTGTTAAATATAAAATATAATATACATAAATTGCTTAATATATAGAAACCAATATTTTGCTTTCGAACACTGGCTATTGCCAGTGTTAAATAAATACTACACAATTCGATTATAAGCGCTTTAGTGGTAGAATGTGTAGGGTATGTAGTCGCAAAATACTGCGACACATTACCTCTGTGCGGGTGTCATAAATCAACCATTTACGTGTAGGTAGCTGGGAAATTTATGGATGTAATCATCATGAATGTTTCAACCGTGTGTGCATTACCTCGATTTACTACTTTATCCAATAATATTTTTGACTGTAAAATGGCGTTCTATGTATTTTCATTTTCATATGTGATATTCACACATTCACCACTGTCAATAGCAAAATTAACCAAATTATGCTGTATTACATGTTATATTGTATTGAATTGGCTAATTTAGCCTAAGCAACAAGAATATTTAAGTAATTTGTAAAATTAAAATTTTGTTTCAGAAGAAATATTCTAGAATTTCATTGATTCATTCATCAAATTTAATCTTTAAATCGATTATAATGGTTATCAATATCAGGAATCCCTAAATACTATGACTGTGACATTCATCTTAACTTGCCTTCCGTCAACCGTGCTAAAATTTAATAAAGAACTTTTTTAATTTAATTTAATATAATTGTTTTTCATAATTTATTAAGTCTCCAAGTCATACACTATACTGTAGATTCCTATAATAAAATTGAGCAAACTGTGCCCTAATATAAGCAAAGTTATAATTGTGGCTTGTAGGAATATTGTATCCCTACAACTTATTATCGGTTTATCTACATGATTTAATTAATCCTCTTGAAAAACTATATGAGGATTCTGCATATTTTAATTTAACAAATCTTTATTTAAATTTACAGAAAAATACAAAGACATGTACATTGAGACCGTCAATGTGATAAATATTTATGTCTTCATCCTTCTCAGCAGTACAATGAGGACGCATTCAGACATGGGTATTGTAACAGAAAGAATCATCAAAATAATCGCTTCTTCTTTCTTTATTCAAGTGTATTCCATCTAAGGCATTGAATTGAGTGCGAGACTCTTGGGTGGCTCACGAATTACAAATGACTGTTACTTAGGTCTAGTTACATATACATAACATAAATTTTCAGCCTTAAATTTTTCAGTCGACTATACCTTTGCTTGTATGTTTGATAATTTTTACCATGACAATAATGTCGTAATTCCTGTTTGTGAAAGACATAAATAAAATGCTGTTATAAAAAGTTTTTGTTACAACACAACAACACAGGTCGCTGATAATCGATATCTGATAGAATTTTAGAACCGTTAAAGTATTTTTGATGTTATCCATTAAAAACATAAAATAAAAAGAATCTTTCGTTCATAAAGCAAGTACCTATAGTAAGCATGTTTCGATACATTCGAAAAAGGTTGCCGAGTTCAAGTAAAATAAAATAAATCGATTAAAATTTTAATCCTCTTTCATTGATACAGAATCTTTACCAAATGAATTAATCAGTTACAGAGTACCTGACGGCGACGTGATCACATTCAATAGAGAGAGATTTAAGAATAGCTTTAGACAGATTCATTTTATATGTACCTACAAACGTATTATTCCTATTTATTATGCGCTACCACCACTCTCGCATAGTAGATAAACAATTTATTATTATTTAAAGTATTGCAATGACGACTGATCATGAATCTCGATCTAAAAAGTATAAAAGC